GGGGTGCGGGTGGGGGGCGGCTGTGAAGGCGGGGCTTTCAGGGCGAGGCAGGAGGAGACCTGCGGGTGGCAGTGGGGGGGGTTATGCTGCCCAGCCCTTGCATGGGCTGCCCACAGGTTGGGCCGCCGCAGCGACGGTGGGGCAGTCGCGATTGCCCCGACGACACTTGCAACCGCCCCAAAGTTGCTGAGGTGTAGAGGTGAGTGTCAGCGGGGGGTGCACCACCTTTGCCTGGCTTTGCGGCATGGAAGCAGGCGCCGCCAGCACTCCTCTGGCCCCGCACGTTTTACTTGGCACAAGCGCGCGCACATACACACACACACACACACACGCACACACACACTCGCGCGGGTGTGCCCCGCCCCGCCCCGCCCCACAGCCTCTTCTGCCGCGGCCAGCTGCTGCCGACCCACCCCCCCTATGCGCGCCGCGCGCTGCTGCGCCTGATGCGCTGCGCCGGCGTCGCCGCCCGTGAGGGCGTCGGCGTCAAGGCAGTGGGCCCCGGGCGTCTCGAGCTCGAGGACGGGTCATCCTTCGATTTTGACGAGTGCCTGTGGTGCACCCAGGCCGCCGCGGCGCCCTGGCTGGCGGAGACGGGGCTGCCGCTTGACGATGACGGGTTTTTGGCGATCGACGAGTTCCTGCGCTGCGACGGCGGCCCCGGGGACGTGTTTGCGTGCGGGGACGTCGCGTCGTCGCGGGCGCACCCGCGGCCAAAGGCGGGCGTGTTCGCGGTGCGGCAGGTGCGCGGGGGGCGGGCCCTGCTCAACCAGCTTGCGCGCAGCCCGCCGCATCCAGGCGGTGCGCACGGGCCGGGCGCTCTTCGACACGGCGCTCGGACCAGGCCGCCTGCAGGTCCTGCGCATTGGCGACGAGGGGCATTGCAGCGCCGCGGTCAATGCATGACACGCAGCGCCGACCCCTCGATCCTGTCGATGCTGACAAATACCCTCGTGACGGCTGCGACCGCAACCTCGTGCGACCGCAACATTGTGCTGCCCCAGGGGCCCCCCCTCTCGGAGAACCTGCGCCGCCTGCTGACCGGCCAGCCCCTGCAGCCGTTTGTGCCCCAGTCCACGTTCCTGTCGCTGATCAGCGCCGGCGGCAGGCACGCGGTCGGCACCAAGGGGTGGGCGGCGTTCGAGGGCGGCTGGGCGTGGCAGCTCAAGGATTACATTGACAGGTCCTTCATGGCCAAGTACGGCAGCGATCTGCCGTTTGAGAACATGCAGGTCGGCTGGCTTGTGTGTTTGTGTGTGTAGGTGTGTGCGTGCGTGCGTGCGAGCGCGCGCGCGCGTGTGTGTGTGTGTGTGTGTGTGTGTGTGTGCGCGCGCGCGCATGCGTGCATGTGCGTGTATGCACACTTTATTTGTCACATGCGCATGTGCGCGCGCACGCACATGCTTGTGTGAGATTGTGTGTGGGTGTGGGTGTGGAGGGGGTTGTACGCGCATATGTGATTTTGTGTTCGGCGTGAAATAATCGCAGATTTGCGGGGATGCTTATAGAATGAATGACGAGGCTGGCGGTAGCAGAGATGGCCAGCGGCTCAGGCCACGCGCAAGCAACACAGGGGGCGCCCCCACCACCACGAACCGTGCCTCATCGCCGCATTCCCCTCTGCAATGCGCGCAGACGGCGGACTCTGGGGCCCCCAGCGCCGGCAGCCAGGCAGCCGCGGCAGACGCCTACTCAGCGGCGGGCCCAGAGGCGCTGGCGCTGCTGGCCGCCTCCAAGATTCGCTGCGGCGGCTGCGGCGCCAAGCTGGGGTCCACCACGCTGTCGCGGGCGCTGCGGCGGCTAGCCGAATGGCAGCAGCAGCAGCAGCAGCAGCAGCAGCAGCAGCAGCAGCAGCAGCAGCAGCAGCAGCAGCAGCAGCAGCTAGGCAGTCAAGGGCATCCCAGTCAACAAGTGCCAGACAGCGCCGGCAAGATGCGCGTGTTGGTCGGCTTTGATGACGGCGCCGACGACGCGGCGATTGTGTCTGCGCCCCCACCGGGCCACGTCCTGGTCCAGACCGTTGACTTCTTCCGCAGCTTCTGGGGGGACCCCTTCCTTTTCGGCCGCATCGCCGCCAACCACGCCCTCGGGGTGAGGGCTTGACCTGGCTGCGGGAGCTTGGGGCAGGGCAACACGCGTGGGGTCCTGCTTGGTGGCCAACCCCGCATGGCGGTGCCTATCACTGCGTCGGGGCCGCACTTCTGCGCTGCATCGTGCGCTTTGGACGCCGTCCGCCAAACCCCCCTCTCCGCGCCCCGAGCACCTGTCGTGCCCCCCCAGCCGCGCAGCCCCGCAGGCCCCGCGACACTTGAACCTTTCCCAATACCCCCTCCCCCCGGGCGCACTCGATATTTCACCCACAGGACGTGTTCGCCATGGGCGCGCAGCCAGCGACAGCGCTGGCGCTGGCTGTCGTGCCACACGGCTCCGAGGCGGCACAGGAGGAGGACCTCTTCCAGATGCTGGCCGGCGCGTCAGAGGCCCTGGGCCGCGCCGGCTGCGCACTGGCCGGCGGCCACTCGAGCGAGGGCGCGGAGCTGTCTCTGGGTGGGTGGCGGGGGACGCCGCCGGGCCCTGCGTCCCTGCCGGGTGACGCAGCTACGACGGGCAGGGAGATTGACCGCGCTTGGCAGGCTTGGGGGGCAAGAGGTGGCCGCCAGTGCAAATCAGGCGCACAGAATTTGTGCAAGTGGAAGGTGCACCAGCAGCTGCGCGGGGCGGCCCGTAGGCGCCGGTGGCGGCCAGCCCGCTTGCAGGCAAGGCCGCGGCAGCAAGGCCAAACATGTGCGCGGCTCCCGACACACACACACACACACACACACACACACACACACACACACACACACACACACACACCGGCCTAACGCGCCCCGCCTGTCTGCAGGCTTCAGCGTGACGGGCCACGCCCCGCAGGGCGCGCTGCTGCGCAAGTCCGGCCTGCGGCCAGGGCAGGCCCTGGTGCTCACCAAGCCGCTGGGCACGGGGACGGTCCTCGCCGCGGCCATGCGCGGCGGCGCGCGCGGCCGCTGGGTGGCGCGCGCCTTGGAGGAGATGCAGGTCAGCAGCGGGCCCGCGGCGGCGGCGCTGGCCGCGTTCGGCGCGACGGCCTGCACCGATGTTACGGGGTTCGGGCTGCTCGGCCACACGGCGGAGATGGCGCGGGCGTCCAAGGTGTGAGGCACGTGCGTGCTGACACTGGGACATGGGCCGTGGCTGTGGGTGTGGCCGCATGCATGCATGAGCTGGCATGTCGCATTCGGCTTGTGGGCAATCGACTGCCGTTCAAATACTTGTGGTGCTCTGCATTGCGTGGTGCTTGCATGAGGCTGTCCACGCCTGCGCCCTGGCGCTCCCGCAGGTTGCAATCAGGCTAGACTTGGCTGCGTTGCCGGCCCTACCGGGCGCGCTGGAGTGCATCGCCGCCGGGCACCTGAGCTCGCTGCACGCGCACAACGCCCGCGCGCTCGCCGCGGTGGCGGACGGCGAAGCGCTGCGGGCGGACGCGCGCTGGCCGCTGCTGGCGGACCCGCAGACGGCGGGCGGCCTGCTGGCGGGCATGCCCGAGGCCGCGGCCGCGGCGTGCGTGGAGCGGCTGAGGGCTGCGGGGTACGGGGCGGCGGCGGTGATCGGGCGCGTCATCGAGCGCGGAGGCTGCGAGGCCTTGGCCGTGGGCAAGGCGGAAAGTGGGGAGTCCCTGCTGTTCACAATCGATGTGCCGTTGTAACTCGGCCCACAGGAACGTACGCCAGTCAAAATAAGTGCATGAACTGCTCAAGATGCTGGCCAAAGCAGTACAGTACTGTGCCTGCCACTGGGCGAAGAGGTGACTGGCACTACGGTAATATTGCGGTTGGGCGCCGGGTGGGGCCTTCCCGCCTTCTATCGTGAACGCGGCGCACTGCATGTTAGATCACGATGCCTCAAAGCCTGGCCTTTGCTCACTGGTGCCATGCAGGTCAGCGTTCGCGCACACACCGCTGGAGTGTCGTCGGGTTCCGCTGCTTGAAAGCTGTATGTCTCTCAACAAGCAATCACCTAGATAAATTTTTTGACACAAAGCTGTTTGCGCACAAGCGATTCGCGCTTCACTCGACTGGCACCAACAGGCTGGTCCGCTTCTTGATGAGCTTGAGCAGGTCAACGGTGCATGTTCATACAAGTCTCTACATTGGTGGTGTATGCTTCAGGACACGCTTCTATTTAGCACGGGGCTGGATTCTTGCTACAGCAGCAAGAGTAGGCACGCAGTGAGCCAACATCCTGAGCGACTGGTGGCGTTCTGGAGCTATACTTACGTGTTTTAGTTGCCGATAAGCTCCTGTGGTGAGCTGAGGGAGCACTGCCCCGTGGAGAGGGGAACTGGGCCACTGACAGCAGTTTGCGAGGTTTTTCCGCTGCAAACTCAGGGATCCTGCGGTCTGCTATGTGTACATGGTGTGTCGATATTGTGCATATCCCTCACAAGCTCGGCTGGCGCTTACAAAGCAGCCCTGCAAGGCAGCAAGTGCTGCTGCTGCAACCCACCGAGCCCCCTCCTGCCGGACACACAGGGCCGCGTTACGTCGCCTGCGGCTAACTTCTGGACCTATAGCCTTGAATACAAGGTGAGATGGCCCACGGGGTTCCCAGGACGCGTTTAGCAACCACAGCAGGACGCTTTGTTGCACGGCAGCCTCGCGGAGATATGAAAGAGGCCGCAAAACATGTTCAGACGTGAACTCGATCGCGTTGATGCTCCTTGGGGTCCAGCTGTGGCCAGCGATGGTGGTGAGGCCTGTGAGCCGCGCCTGGGCTGTCCAGTCCAGCAGAAGCTTGGGGCCCGGCCTCCTTCATCTGTTTTCCATCAGCACAGCTGCAGCGCCGTGTGCAGTTGGCGCTGAAATCTGACCAAAATGCCGAAGATCAACAACCGGCAGCGCTTGAGGCGGCCCGCCCGAGCAGCCCCCACGTGGGCAAGCTGGTGGAGGCCCAAGCTTCCCCCCCTTCCTAGGCGCCGCCTTTTGGTGTCGCATACCCAACCATCCACCACCCCTTCGTCCCACGGCTTCATCCCACGCTCCCCCCCCAGGTCAGAAGCGGCGCGGGCCCTGCCGCGCCTTTGACCCCAGCAGCGGCCGGCCCCCGCCTGACGGCGGCAAGGCGCCATGGCCAGCAATCTGAAGCCGATCTCCACGCGGCCACGAGGCGGCGGCCCGGGGCCTGGTGACGTGGAAGGCGGCCGCGGCGGCTCCCCCTCGTCGAGCACCGGCGTGGCGCCGCTGAAGGAGCGCGGCAACAATGGCGGCGGCGGCGACCCGCAGAGCGACAGCCCTGCGATGGGCAGCGACAGCTCCAGCCCGTGGCGCCGCTTCTTCCGCGGCGGCAGCCGCTACCCCAACAGCGACGCGGACAGCTTTGGCAACAGCCCCCGCAACCTCATGGGCTTCTCGCCCAAGGCTGGCAGCAGCAGGAGCGAGAGGTGCGGGCTGTGGAGCTTGGGAGGGGCCCTTGCGGCCGCTGGTCAGCAGCGACACGGCTGCAGGGGCAGCGCACGTCCGGCCCCGTCGTGGGGCCCTCGCTGCGGTCTCAGGGAGGCTTGTTGGATGTGGATGAGCGAGGCGGGACGGCGCACAAATGGCTTGGGCCCCCTGCATTGTTTATCACAATTTTGTCCACAGAGGTCTGCACCACAATGCCCCTTGCCCCTGCGTCCCTCCTGGGCCCCAACCCGCCGCCCGCCTCAATTCCGAGCCCATTCGCATGCTGAAACCGCATCACACCACGATTCTAAACCCTCACACAGCCACATGAGCACGCCCGTGAAGCGCAAGTACGGCGGCGGCGGCGGCGGCGGCGGGCGCGACTATGGGCCCGGCCAGATCAACGCGTACCCGCCCGTCAACCCGGCCGGCCACGGCGCTGCGGGCGCGGTGATGATGAGCCTGGCGGAGGAGCTGCTGACTAAGAAGGGTCTGAGCCTGAAGGACCTGCAGGAGGAGCAGGAGGAGTATGCGGAGACGGGGGACAAGGTGGGGAGGGGGGTGGATTGGGAGGGGGTTGGGATGGGTGAAGGGCGTGGGGTGTTGGTGGGGAGTGGTGAGACCGCAGCACAGGGTCTGGAGGGCGTATGTGTGTGTGTGTGTGTGTGTGTGTGTGTGTGTGTGTGTGCGCACGCGCGCGCGTGCGCACGATCAAAATTGCAGTTGTTTTCTTGCTTGTGTGAGGTGTGCAGCTGAGTCATTTCTCTTGAGAGCCCGTCAGGCCAGCATGCTGGCCACCCGCTACCCGGCAGCGCAAAAGCTGTGCTCCTATGGAACCTAGTGGGTGTCACAAACGCACACGCACTGTGGCCCACCCGACCCTTGTTGCCCTGCGGCGATCCAGGTGGCCATCCCTAAGGACAAGCGGCCCGTGTCCAAGCACTGGAACTGGGTGGGCCTGCTGATCTTCCTCTTCTACTTTGGGTCCCTCATCTACTACATCATCATCCGCGCCACCAAGACCCTCAACATGGGCTATCTCGGGTGAGGCACAGCTTCCAACACCTGACCTCCCATGCCACGCGAAGGGCGGGCCGGGGCGGCGCCGCGGACAAGGGACGCCGCTGTCCCTGCGGCTGCAGCAGGGGGCAGCGGGCGAGCCGCCGCTAGGCGCGGTAGCTGTCAATGAAAAGTGCTGCGAGATGCACTGGGGCAACAGGCGACTGCGTCCGCACCAGCGGGCTCCTGAATGCTCCCTCCCACTGCGGCACCTCAAAACGCATTTGCTCTGCACAACCTGCTGAAGATCCCCCATCTCAACCCCCCATCCATGTTGTGACCGCCACGCAGGTACGGCATCCTGGTGCTGCTGATTGAGATCATCTCGTCAACAGCCACGATGGGCTATGCTGTTCTCCTCATAAAGTACTCCAATTCGCGGCGCACAAAGGGTCTACCCATAGCCAAGAAGGGCCAGCAGCCCGACCTGGACAACCTCGCGTTCCACGTGCGCGTGCTCGTGCCGTGCTACAAGGAGAGCGTCGAGCTGGTCAAGATCACGGTGCTGGGGGCGGTCAAGGCGCCGCTGCCGCGCAACACGCTGCGGACGGTGTACCTCTGCGATGACGGCAAGGTGGGCGGCCGCCGCAGAAATGTCTCTGTGTGTGTGGGGAGGGGGGGCGCGGTCGCAGGCGCGCCCCAGCGTCTGTGTCTGTGTGCGGAAGGGTGTGAAGAGGTGTGCGGCAGGCAAGGATTGGGTAGAGTGGAGTTGGGTGTGCAAAGGCAAGCGAATGACGGCATTAGCCTTGGAAGCTGAGCAATTACCTTCGGCACTACATGCAACGGGTGGTTATCGGTGACAGAAGGCGCTTGTCAGCTGAGACTTGGGGTGGCACGCCCTGCTCAGCCTGCCAGGTCTCCATGCCTGGATGCTGTCTCCTGCTGTGGCATCCCTCACACCAGCCAACCCCCTTCCGCGCTCCAACCCTTGCCTTTTACCCATCAACTCTGCATTTTTCTGTTTGCGCAATTGGCCCTTCACAAACAACACACACATACACACACACTCACGCTGAACCCCAGGACCCTGCCAAGGAGGAGATGATCCGCGAGCTCAATGCGGAGTACGGCTGCATCGAGTACGTCAGCGGCCGCAAGCGCGACCCCAACGGTGAGGCCCCTGCTGGATTGGCGCTGGCAAGGGTGCGCCCCGGCGCCTGCGTCTCAGCCGGGCGGGGTGATTTTGTGCAGTGCTGCGCGGATGGGACGCCCAGCTGCCACCAAAGGCGGCGAGCGAGGCAGCATTGCCGCAAGGCAGGTGGCAGATGTGCTTGCCAGGAGCCAGGCCTGCACTGGCCGAGCTGCCAGCTGCCTCCCTACTCGCAGCAGCGCAC